TTTCAGCCTCATCTCACCATATCCTCTATTTTCAATCCACACTGAGTTTATTTACATTTCTTCAAGGAGTTTAATTACTCTTCTTCCTCTCCTGGGCCTAAGAGCCTTCTAACAAGATGTTCATTCCACCTAGAAGACGGTCCCCTTTATTTGGCCAAGTCCTACTTAACCCTCAGTCTCAGCCTAAATATCACTAACTCTAGCAAGTCTCTTTTGAACTCCATCTACATGTGATTTATTCGTGGCTTGTCATTTCATTAATATTAAAAATTCCATAATGAAGAATTATCTGTTATATAAACTTCAAAAAAGAAAGACAATGGAAGAAGACTGGGATCCATTTCCCTTCAAATAAATTCAGTTACCAAAAAAGACCCACTTTTCTCACAGCTTCCTTGGGTAATGAGTGATGTGTAATTGGGCTACAGTTTTCAATGTTTCTGGGTTCCTGGACAAAAGTTTTGAAATTTTTTTAAATTAGTGTTTTAAAATATTACAGAAATAAGACACTGAAAAAAATTTAAACTGCAGAAATTTTACAGAAAATAAACAGTTCACACTAAGTTTCTAAGGTAAACTCAACATTTTGATATGTATCATTCCAGGCCTTTATTTCATATATAATTGATTGTATACATATATGTAGTTTTGTAAAAAAAAATGATTCTTTATAGACACTATTCTAAAACTTTATCATTCAAAAATATATTACAGATATCCTCCCTTACCAGCTTATATAGGATAGGTCTGCTTTTTTCATGATACAGATTTTATCTTAATTTTATCCACTCCCCTATTGCTGGTCACTCAGGTTGTTCCATTTTAAATTAGCTATTACACAGAATACTGCAATAAACATTCATGTTAACATGGCCTCCGTTTTGCATCATATCTGTAAATTAGGTAAATGGGATCTTTAAATTGTAACAATTTGTGTCTTTGAAGGACTGTGTCTTGAACTCTAGTTTTTCTCTTTTATTATCCAGTTAAGAATTCTATGTGATGAAACAGACCAGGAAGACTGCTCATCACAGAGCAGCCATAATGGCCTTTTTTCTGTACTTCAAATGCCAAGCACTTTTCCACCACAGAGCTTTATCACTCACAGTTCCCTTTTCCTGAACAGTCTCCAGATATTTCATGGCTAGTTTTTTGTTATTCAGGCCTCAGCTCAGACCTTGCTTTCTCCAGTAATCCTACCTGGCCACTCAATCTAATTGTGAGGGAGCATGTGATTTGGGTGTTTCATCTTGTCAAGGATCGTCACTGAAAAGCTGGAAGTTCCTATGCCATTATTTTCTGGTAGGTATGCTTGGGAGGATGTGCTTAAATTTAAAACAAAACATCATTTTGGTTAGTTAGAATCAGGAAAAAAATAGTATCAAGACTTCCTTTCGTCTTGGGCAATGTTTAGTATATGCTGGGGTCTGTTCTCCAAGTCTAGTTAAGTATATTTCATGGAACTTGATTTGTGTCATTACTATTTGTGCAACTATGTGTAACAATTCAGTGAAGGTACAGACCATTTCCCTATTAATGCCCTACAGGTCCCTGGCCTTGATTACTAATTTGGTTTCTTTAGAACATCAATATGAACTTAATGCAAAAGCAGTTGGTGATTTATTGCAGTATCCTGCATCTCTTGAGTTTGTAAAAACTCAGTATGTGTTTTTAAAAAAAATAACAACCAGATGTAATTTCATTGACAATCAGTGGTCATTAAAATATTGAATGCACTTCTAGATAGATTGATAGGGTCTCCACAATAAGTATTAAAATATGCTTTTTTTCTTGACTTTCCTGAGGGTGATTTCAAAATATTTTTTAAATCCTTCAAATATGATGTTAAGAATTCAAAAATCTTTTTCTAGTTTAAGATGGAAAATTGCTTTCACATATCTTTTCTCTATCAAAAAGCCTGCCAAAATAATAGTGACCCCCAAGGACAAAGAGAGTGAGATGAGACAACAGTGAATAAGAGATGTCAACCCATTTTCAGAAGGCCAAAGTAGATGAAGAAATGATAATTCAGAGATCAGAGAAAGTTACATGCTAAATGTCTGCAAGGGGGTATACCAAAGAGAGACAAGCCCACTTTATAGAGAACGTGTGAGAGGCTCAATTTTTGTAGGAAGAAGTTTCCAAGGAAGGGGGAAAAGGTGTGGGGCTGGTAACATGGGATTCGTTCAAGTCTGTGTTCAGAACTGTTGTATGTCTAGGATCCCTATCCTACCCTAGGAATCCAGATGAAATTTCTGTACCCCACAGATGGAAAGTTTATTTTCTAGGTAAATTGAACCAAAGAAGGGTCATACTCAGAGAAAACAAGCACAGATGAAGGCTGGGGTGTATAGCATCAAACAAGGAAATTATATGCAAAACAATATCCTTTACTGCAGGAATGTCACCCTCTTCCCCCACCTTGGTCTCATTAAATCAACATCCAGGGCATACACCCCACACACACCCACACCCACAATCAAAATGGGAAGACTATTCTCTGAAAAAACCATGTGGTTCCAGAGGAACAAAATCCAAATATTGACATCTGAGCATGTTCCTAGAAAAGGCCAGGTCAGAGTTCGGTTGCACCAACACCGGTACATAGGCGCGGGCCGGCGTGTCCTTGGACTTAGAGAGTGGGACGTCCGGCTGGCGCGGGTGGGACTCTGTGTCGTGTCTAACGAAAGAGCGATTTAAAGATGGGTGATGTAGAGAAGGGCAAGAAGATTTTTGTGCAGAAATGTGCCCAGTGCCATACTGTGGAAAAGGGAGGCAAGCACAAGACTGGGCCAAATCTCCATGGTCTGTTTGGGCGAAAGACTGGTCAGGCCCCTGGATTTTCTTACACGGATGCCAACAAGAACAAAGGCATCACCTGGGGAGAGGACACCTTGATGGAGTATTTGGAGAATCCCAAGAAGTACATCCCTGGAACAAAAATGATCTTCGCTGGCATTAAGAAGACTGCAGAAAGGGCAGACTTGATAGCGTATCTCAAAAAGGCTACTAAGGAGTAATAGTTGGCCACTGCCTTATTTATTACAATACAGAAATGTTTCATGACTTTTTT